TCTGGGAGGCCAAGGTAGATGGACTGCCTGAGCTCACAAGTTCAAGACCAACCCAAGCAAAAGCAAGATCCAGTCTCTACTAAAAATAGAAAAATTAGCCGGGCATTGTGGTGGGTGCCTGTAGTCACAGCTACTCAGGAGGCTGAGGTAAGAGGATTGCTTGAGCTCACAAATTTGAGGTTGCTATGATCTGTGACACCTTGGCACTCTACCCAAGGTGACAAAGTGAGACTCTGTCTCAAAAAAAAAAAGAAAAGAAAACCATTCTAATAATTTATTTTTCAATACCCACAGGCCATTTAGTTTACTGAAGAAAACACGAGCAGTTACAGTTATTCAGGTGAAGTCAGGTCAGTAATTGAAAATAAGGTAATAGGAAATATGACAGAAAAAAAATGACTGTAACAAGTGCGATAAAACATAAGCTTACATAAAGAGGTGATGATAAGAGGCAAGAGAATTGCTTAAGCCCAAGAGTTTGAGGTTGCTGTGAGCTGTGAAGCCAGAGCACTCTACCAAGGGCGACATAATGAGACTCTGTCTCAAAAAAAAGAGGTGATAATAAAAGACAATATTTAGGGCTATGATGAAATATATATTAAGAGGCATTATTAGCTTTATCCAGGATAAATGGATATGTGATTAGAAGAATTTATGGGCTCGGTGCCTATGGCTCAAGTGGCTAAGGCGTCAGCCATGTACACCCAAGGTGGCGGTTCAAATCCAGCCCGGTTCACCAAAACAACAATGACGGCTGCAACCAAAAAATAGCCGGGCGTTGCGGTGGGCGCTCGCAGGAGACTCACTTGAGCCCAGGAGTTGGAGGTTGCTGTGAGCTGTGATGCCACAGCACTCCACCCAGGGCAACAGCTTGAGGCTCCTGTCTCAAAAAAAAAGAAGAATTTATGATATGAGAAGGGTGTGGAAGCAATCACGTGAATCACCCTACCTCGAACTCTGCCCATTATATATATGAAACAGTTTGTACTCTGTCATCATGTGTTTGGGGCTTCCCCCCTCCTTTTTCATATGTAATCTCTCCCAATTACACTTTAAGCCTTGAACACTAAATATTCAACTTTTTTTATACCCATACACTTACCACGCACCAACTACTTGTGCAGGGTTACTAGGGATACAAAAACGAAGAACTGATCCCTGCCGCTGAAAAGCTCAAGGTCCAGTGAGGAAAAACAGATTCATAAACAGATACACCAAGACAGTAAAGATGGTACAAATGGCAGGAGATGTAGAAGTCAGGGGAAGAAAATGAAGGATGTCCAAAACAGTAGTTAAGCATTACATCACCTTAGCCAGAAGTAGTAGAACCTGTTTTTGTATCCATCCACTCCCTGATTTAACTCATCAGATTGATGACATGAAAACCATCTTTGCAGCTGAGATAGTTAATTGAAATCAGGTAAAAATGAATGAGGTATTCCCAACAGGGACTAGACAAGAAAAAAAGAAGAGAGTCTCTAAATTGGAAGAAAGTTAAGGGATCATGTTTACAGATGCTCAAGGTTTCACTGTAACTATGTCAGTGTAATCCATATTTCAACACGAATCCTTAACACATCTTTACCAAGAATAAAGATTTAGGAAATGATGTGATCTACTCCCTCTTGAATAACCAATTACAACAAAATTCCTAAGTCAAACAGTTGGAAGCCTATAAAAAGGCTTTATGTAAATTTTACAAGAATCACCACCATCCCAAATATAATGTGTTATCAAACATAATGTGAAATAACTTTAACAAGGCTGACTTGAAAGTGATAAAGAAACAAGTTATTGCCAACAAGATAGTAGAAATACTGCAGAAGCACCGATAAACAGAAATCACCAACTCAAGAAAAGAGAAACTGGCCATAGATCCAGAGATCACGTTACGATACACCAAGAAAGACACGGTTCAAAAGAATTACCGGGAGGCGATGAGCCAGGTAAGCAAACTGTGGCAGTTAAGGGGATTTTCATAACCTCGGCAGAAGGGTCCAGACGTTTCTTTCTGGTGGTGGCACTAGTGATATCGCATCTCAGGGAGATACCACAAGGTAAGAGTTGGAGAAATGTTTACGTGAGACGCAGTAGTAGTCGCGAAATACCATTCAGGTCTCAAGGAAGGCGAGAGGTGAAGCAGGTGGCGATAGAAAGCTGGGCTTCCAGGTCAAAACAGGTCTCCCTAGAGAGAAGACTGCTCTGGCGGGAAAGCCCCGGAATCCCAACCCGCCTGCGTCTTCCACACAAGTAGGGCTAGGCGCTAAGATGGAGCCTACTATACCGGCAAGAGGACGGCCTCTCCGCGGCCCAGGGAAAAAAGGGAGCCTGAAAGAACGGCCTCAGGTAGCCTTACTAACGGCCACCAGCCAGACTGCGGCCGCCGGACAGCAGGGGGGAGGAGAGGTGGTCCCAGGGGGCGGGGCAGAGAAAAAGGCTCCAGCCCCACAGCGGTCCCCGCTTCCGCCCAGCCCAGTCTAAGCCAGCTGGCCCGGTCCGACACAGCCTGCCGGCCCAGACTCCCTCCATCCTCACCCCTCCCCCAGCTTCCCGCCGCCACTCACCGAACCGGAACCGGCTGCCAAGCGAAGGGGTTTCCGGCCGGGCGCGGAACGCAAAACCCGGGAACAGCCGCGAACCGGAACCGCCTTTACAACACCGGAAGAGCCTCTCGGTGCCTGCGGAGGAGGGGGTGGTGCAGGAGGTCAAAGAGGGGTGTAAAGGACCAGTGGAACGCCTGCGCGGTGTGGCGAGGCCTGAGAAGCCAAGGGAGCGTTTAAGATTGTAGTCATAATTTCCCAGTTAACCTTTCTATCTGGGGGTTTTTCTCTTTCTTGTACTTTTTAGTGCGCCCTTCGTCCTTTGATTTTCTATGTTCCCTCGCCTTCTTTACCTGCAGCCATCTGGTTCCGCAGGGACATTTTTGCTCACGCTCCAGCTTCAGGGCAGTTTTCGCTGTGGCTCTAGACCTGTGGGAACCTGTGACTCCCCCAACAGGTGGAGAACTGAGATCTAAATCGATCTCAGGCTGTATCGTGGTTTTTTTTTTTTTTTTTTTTT